GAACAATTATATTTACCCTTTTCTGCACCCTAGGTCACGGCCACCATGATCCACATCAGGGAGCCACGTTTTTAATACCTAACGAAAGCAAATAAAAAGACGAATGCAAAAAGCGTGAACATGGCTTCCTGCCTCGCTGGCCGCTAGACTTTTTAATTGTTCCTCTCAGAACAATGGTGTCTAAAAAAAAAATCAATGCTGCGGTTCCTCACAAGGAGTAAGTAATGGAACAAGGGCTGGCCAACAGGAAGCACAGGATACACCACTCCATTCTGACTACTGTATCCAAATGAACACCCATCTGTGATCACATTAAACAGTATTCTTCTTGTCCCCGGAACCCTAAACTATGAAATGGGGGTGAGGAGGGGAGCAAGATTGAGGCCATAATGATTGGTGTCAATCAAGTCCCGTGGATAGTGACATACGGGGTGGAAGGCAGCATTTTGGAACATTTAAATCTGCACTTAGAATCTCAGATGGAGGTTATGGCCGGAAATAAGCGGGGAAGGAACATTCAAAGGTTGTAAATTCTAATTAAGCATTTACGTCAGCTTGCAAAGCTTCTTAGTTTTCCCCAAATGTTGGGCTGCTTCGTATTCTTTCAGCCTTCTACCAAGAACACTAAAAAAGAAGGCTTTTGAACTCTCATCCAACTACCGGGATGGAGAGTTTAAAAGGCAACCAGAGACAAGATTAGGGATTCTCTATCCCTCACCAGAGAACAAGTGGGGGGGAAAAGGAAAAGTTTTTGTTTTTGTTTTTTTTTGTTTTTTTTTTTTTTTTAAAGCCAGAAAGTGAGCTTGTGCTTGCCTAGTTACCCTCCCCCACCACTGCAAGGCCTGGGGACATCACCAGCCATGAATCCCTCCCTGGGCTCCCGGTGCCTACTCTGGGTTTACCCCATGACCACTTGGACTGGCTTTGATTCCCCAGGGTAAGTGTTCATGATCACAAATTTGGCCAAAAGATTTTTCATTACCCTCCAACATTTCTTTTCACCTCCAACCTCTAGGCAGGACCCTGGCTTTCCCTTTGGAGCCAGGAATATAAAGACATGGGGCCATTGGGCTGACCCAGAGGGCCCTGCTGTCAATCACAGCCTCGCCCTCTCCCCCGCCTTTCACACCAGGCAGCTGGACCCATCGCTGTCAACCAGGTAACAACCCCCAGACAATAGCGGCCTGAAAGCCTGGTCTAGACACTCTTTTAGCCACTTATTCGCTGCTCTTGGCAGCTGTTGAAGCATAAATAAGCAGTTTGTAATCAGAAAGCTGACATCATCGCAGCGCGGCTGAGAGGAGAGATTGTTCCTGGGCACTGAGCGGGTTTTTTTTTTTTTTTTTTTTTTTTTTTTTTTTTTGTGTGTGTGTGTGTGTGTGTGTGTGTGTGTGTGAGACAACAGATTCTGGGGTGGGGATGCAGATTTGTGCCATGCTAAGCTGGTCTTTCTTTGATTTACAGAAGACAATTGGATCAGGTCCCCAGCTCCAGGGAACACCAGAATTATTTTGTTCATGTTCAGCTCCTGATGGCCAGTCATATCGAATAATAAACCGGGTACAAGTGGCACATGAGCTCGACAAAGGTGGAGACATGGCGGGGTGGGTTAAAAACTTAGACAACGTCCATGGGGTAACTCATCAGCCTCTGGTGAGGGACTGTGTGATATGGTTTTGGTAGGGGACCAAGGGGCGGGTGGCTACTGCATGAGCTTCTGCCGCCTCTGTGAGATGAATGGTTTCATGAAAGGCAACAGAGAAACCGGCATGCTTATTTCTGCTTCCTGTGTGCGAGTGTGCCCGTGTGTGGTTCAACATCAAGTCTGCCATTCAAAGTGACTGGCAGCTACACTCAAGAAAGGCAGTAGGTATGAGCCATCCACCAGAAACATTGGCTCCCCATCACCTCTACAGCAGAATAGAACCTCTTGTAGATTTTCCTGCTTTCCCCAGGACTGGCTTTGCCACTAGAACTAGGAGAGGTAGTTTATGTGATTCACTTATCATAACCGATGTCTTATAATTGTTTCGAGCTTGCTCCCAAAGGAGGGAGAACTTCTCAGGTTTCCTTTAGCACCACGGTTCTGATTGCTCTGATGTCTGCTAGCGACACCTGACTCAAACCCTGTTGGTCCATAGTGGCCTAATCCGTGCCAGGACGCTACAGACCTTCCCACCTGAATAGCCCATTCAGGTAGTTTTGCCCATCTCCAATTTCCACTACCAAAAAAAAAGAAAAAAAAAAGCCAGTTCTACAAAAATATTGCCTTCCTGTCCCCCCGAGGGCTTCTGGTATTACTTTGTTCTAAGTAGCTCATGATTTAGAATACAAAGGCATTTCCAGAGTGCATGTTTAACAAAATGACATAGCAGATAATTGAAATTTATTTGCAATTTTCAAACTACAATAAACACAAGTCTCCCTTTCTTTCATTAATAATCGCACGGCTAATGCATAGCAATCCCTCTGCAGCTTTTACAAGCAAACTTGAGCTGCTGTGCTGTAATAGCTGAAAAAGTTAATGTAGCTTGAACGAGGTTTCTAATTGTCCCTGTCTCTGTCATATTTGTCTACTTGAATGGTCCTAAATACCACAGCGATTAATTACTACAGAGCAGGTATTACAAGATGTTATCATCTTTCCCCAACCGTCTGGGTGAATGGAGAGAAGGGGAGATTGTTACAGTGTTTCATCTTTGCTCTTCCTGTAAGACACTTTAACCAGAAGATTTAACGTGTCAAAGTTAACAGCGTTTCCTAGCAGATATTCACATTCTAATTAAAGATTAAGAACGTAGTACATTACACTGTGATTTGTCATACATGGCTTGTTAAATAGGAAACCTACCGGGATTCCCTAACATTTTATAAACATTATTCAGGGCTTTTAATGTGGGCAAAGTGAAAGATTGTTCAACTGCATTGCAGCATGGAAAGCAGGTCACCCTCGGTCCCACCCCCCACCCAGCTCCCAATAAATAACAAAATGAGACAACTTGGGCTGTTGGGAGGCTGGTTTGCAGTAGAGGTTCTGTTCAAGCCATGAATCACCTCTGGTTAGCATTGGGCGGTAAAGGGAAGATCTTTATTATTAACCCTAGGCTTCTTTTTTTCTTGTCCTTTTTTTCTCCTTTCTTTTTCTTTCTTTCTTTTTTTTTCACTTCTGCATTTGGCTGTCAGCTAGTGGAGGAAGGTAAGAGTCTTTGTTTGAATTGGAGTGCCAAAGGACAGAATAAAGATGAAACAGTATTTCAATAAGCAGCCAGAGCCTTTAGCTGCTTCTAGGAGCCCTGGTCGCACCAGTTCCAGTACTAGTGGCACAGGACTGGTTCGCATTCGATGATTGCCTGAGGAATAAATTAATGAGGTTACTGAGATACTGAACATTTGCATATTCACGGATGCTTATTAGGTAGAAAGTGAGTGCCAGGTGCACCGAATTTGGGGGTAGGAGATTTGCTAAGAAGTCACATCTTTTTCTCCTCCTCAGAAACGGGGTGTCCTGACAGTAAAAACAATACTCAGGCAGAACTCTTGCTTAATGAACATCTGAGTCATTATAGCGCCAAGGCAAGGCAAAGAGGGTCAGTCTAGCTTGCAAGCCCCAAGAAAACCAACATACTGCCCTAGTTATAGAGAGATCTGGATGCAATAGTTCAGGGCCATAAAGGGAACAAATCCCACTTGCTCTCTCTGGATTTTAGGCTTTAATTATGCTGGTGGTGTGCTCAGCCGAACACAGGATGCCATGGTACCTAATGCAAAATGATCAATTGAAGGAGACCTTTACATTTGTAAACATTATTATTGACTGGTTGCCAATCTAAGTTGGAACAGGTGAAAGCTTTTCTAAGAAAATTACATGCAGACCCAAATAGGGGGGATGGATCTGGGCTGTTTCACTAAAGGGTGTGGGTCTCCCCATTTCCTCTGCTAGTGGCTGCTGCCAGGATGGGGAGAAAGCATATTGTTTAAGGCATTTGTATCTCACTGTGGAGCTAAGTTTCTGTGCAGCTGTGGGTCGTAACTTGGAGACTTCCTCAGAGCTGAAGGGCAGATGACATACTCCTCAGGTCCCCAGGACTATTATAACACAGAATAGTGACTGCCCATGCTTTTCAGAGCACTGCACAGTGGGAAAGACTGTCCCACGTTTTTAATATTTTACTTCCATTTTATACAGATAGATATTTTTTCTTTCAAATGTACTTTCATTTTATCTTTCAAGAAAATAACTGACAGCTTTCAGCCTCAAGGAGCTGATCTATAGAAATGAAAGTGTAATAAGTATTTTTTTTTAATAATGATGGATATTTAGTACCAAGTCGCATTCTGCACTCTTATTTCATAGGACCTCTTGGAGCTTTTCCCATTCCTGGCCAAGGCAGGCAGGAACCCCATGTTAGAAACAGTTTGTGTACACACGGCAAAGTGCACATGCATAATAAACAGAAACCCACAGACTCCACAATGGGTGTCCTCTACACAGCTTAGAGTCTTTTGACTTAATTTAAAAATATTATTGCCAACATCTATGGCTCTTTTAAAAAAGAATTTCTCCCCTTATTTACAAATAGTCTCTTAATATGAATTATTTAAGTGCCTTCCCAGGGAAAAATCAAAGAGGCTCTTAGTGCCTGTTTCAGTGCTGCTTAAAACTTAAGCTTTTAATTTATTTTATCAAGGCTCAGAGGGTATAGTAATCGTCAGAACAAGCCCCTCCACCCTCCTCAAAATAATCTGCACATGTTTGAAAGATTCAATTTCTTTTTCTCATACAAATTTTGATATGCTCACAAATATACAGAAATCAATTATTTCAAGGTGCCACAATTGTATCCAGGAAACTACATATTCTCATAAACTAAAGGAATATAGATGTACTAATATGCATCAATAATATCACTTAAGGATTTTTGAAAGTGTATTTCACCTTGAAAGGACCTGCTTGAAGCCTACACAGCAGCGAAATCACTGGAGTCCAGGGTTTTTGTCACACACACACACACACACACACACACACACACACACACACACAGCACAGATTTTTTTGATTATGTAGATTTCTTTTCCTACTGCAGTTTCATATGCAAAGCATGCATCAGCCACATCCATGCTATCTCCTAAAGCAGTCATTCTGAAACCCAATCTGGGGACAGTGCAGACTAAATAAAATTTCATTTTGATTTGGCCTCCCGCTGCGAATGGGACTGCTTTGTCTCAGCCGACAGAACCAGCAAGCCAGAAAGGTATGTGGCGCTTTGCATGGCTGGTGGTGTGTCTGGAGGCTCAGGATCGCCTCTGTGCCTGGCTCTCACACTTCCTGCGCCTCTTTCTCTCTCTCACTCTCTCTCCCTTCCATTTGCTCTCAAGCTGAGTGCTGTGTGCCTTCTACCTGCGGGGCAGAACGGGGGCTAACCCGAACCAATTGTTGACTTTGGCATATGCTTAATTGCTCCTGTGGCTGTTTGCAACCCCCCTACCCCACCCCCCACTGTCTTTGTTATTATGAGGCTTTGTTTTTTTGGTTTGGGGTTTTGGTTTTTTGTTTTTTCTTTTTTCTTTTTTTTTTTTTTTTACTTTCCTCCTCTGTCTCTATTTTGGTTTTTGTTTTGTTTTGCTTTTCTCACTACATTGGCTCTCCATGTTTCCTCAAGGTGTTGAATACTAAAATACTGACTGAAAGGGAAATTGTTTAAGGGCTGCTCTGATGCTCCAGAGGTTTTACTGGAAAATTTGTCATGCTGGATTTTTATTGTAAATTTGAAGACGCGTTTAACAGCTTTGAAGGACTTTAGCTTTCATGGCCCTTTTGAGTCGCCTTGGCAGAAAAGCAATCGCCCATTTTAGAAAAAGAGGGAGAATATAAAATAAGGACTATCTTCCGAGGGGACTGGATTGTTTACCATTTTGGTAGGCTTTTTTTCCTCCAATGCATTGTGGTGCTGGCCCGCGTCGCTGCTCAATATGGCTCTCTTTTGAACAATGACCTTCACTTGGAGTCATCTCAGGAGAGGCTGCTGTGTCAAAGCTCTTCTTAAACTTGTCCCACCTTTCGAAGCCTTGATTGGCGATCAAGGGACAACCTGCTGTGATGTTCTCAGAGGCTTGCGACACAATGGCAAAGTGCCAGGGGGCTGGCAGTCCTGGGAACTCAGTTTTCAAGTCTGTCCGAAATGTCTCCTTGGAACTGTCACTGCCCTTGACCAATTCATAAGGTGTTGTGAGCGAAAGATGTGTTTCTCCCTGGTTTACATATTGGCATATCATTAATCTAAATTAGATTATAGCAAACTGGTTAAAATGGATATAGAGTAAATGAAAAATAAATTGCCTAAGAGGAGAGCAGGGAGTAACTTCATTCAGACTCAGGAGTTCTGCATAAGTAATTCCACCTAGGAGATGGATGAATGGGTAGAAATACTAAACAGCTTCACAGGGACTTTACTCCCTCCCCCAAAGCAAACACAAAATAGATCATGTCATATAACTTGGTACAGGGTCAGAAATGAATTTTCAGAAATCTCAAATATTGCAGCCTTCTGCCCAAGGGCACTTCCTGATGTGTCGAGGACATTCAGTGGTGAGCTCTTTGCCCCTGCAGAACATGGTGTTGGTGCTGCAATACCTCCAGGCTTGAACTCTACCTCCCTAGCTAACCAGGAGCCTTGGGTGGGGACGAGACACACCAACAGCTCAGTCGTTGGTGAAGAGGCTCCCTACTAGGTTCTCATGTAAGGAAAACTGAAGAACCAAGCAGACGTTGAAGGCATTGGAGAAACTGCAACCTGAATGTGAAGACAGATGGTCATGTGATGTGTCGGTGTCCCCATGTAGGAAGAAGAACATGGCAAGGCCAGGCCTGTCTTGAAGGCTGAGCTTCAAAGATGGGTGGTTAACACTAATGTGTGTCTTTTGGCTGTAGCCTGACTCTGGGTGCTACATGGTTATTTCATAGCTACTAATGATAACAACACACAAATTTGGTTTTTGTCCGACTCATGTGTTTCTAAGGGCCACTTATTGAAATTTTAGGGACTCTTGGTACCAAGTGCTACATAAATTTTCTTTAAATTAAGAGCTATTAAGCAAGAATGCTTTCTTATTAAAAAATCAGAATTTAAATACAAATATTTAAAATATAAAAATGAAAGTGTAAGATATGGAAACAAAAATGTTTATATTTTGAGGACACATAAGTGTATAAATATTTAAAAATAATGTTCACATATACAGAAGAATATGGAAAGAGGCTTAATTATTCATTTAACTAGAGTCAAAAGAGTATGTTGAGGATAAAAGTTGATAAATGTAGCTAGCGGACAATTCTAAACTCTAGTTTACCAGATATGGAGTATGCACCAATGGTTAGTACTGAGCAACAGAATACTATTAATTGATATGCTCACTTGGACTCTCTCTGCAAGAGAAAATTATTACAATATGATTTAAGCAACCATGAGTTTTGGGGGCATTGGAGAACTCAGGAAAGAAGTAGTGCATTCTCCCGAGATGGGATAGTGTACCCCTCCCTCTGGTATCTGCCAAGCCTGAAGCACATCATCCCCTGAGTTCATGTGTTCCATAAACATGGCACCTCCGTGTGTCCTCAAGCACTAAAACACTCGTTGAAAGAAATGTTGACAACAACTGTAATGGGATCCCTTGTGGTACGTGAATTTGGCTCCTCTTTGTTTTGTGATGAGCATTATCTATCCATGCACATTTCATTATCTGAGTCTGTTCTAATACAAGGGGATGAGGGGGGCAGCTAACAAGAGCTTCATATACATTCTGGCCAAAGGCAGAGAATTTAGAGAACCTGTCTATTGTTCCGTCAGTCTTGAAGAAAGTGATGGTCAAGATGTTCAGTGAAGAGACATGTGAATGGAAAATGCCCTGGATGAGAGAACAGAAGGCCCATGCATTCCACAGTTCCTCTCTTCATACTGCCTGGGGGGTCAACACTTGGTGGCCAGGGGCGGGGGAGTGAAGAGATCTAAAATCACAGATCCTCCTCTGTAGGCTCCAGAGACCACCTAGACCTCTTCATCGGCCTGTGTGCTTCCCAAGGAAATTGCTATAGTATGTTTAAACTGTCTAAATAGGACATTGCAATCATAACAACCTGTACATTCTAAGGCCTGATGTAGAAAAAAAATTAAAAAAATGTCCTAAGGGGCAGAAGAAGAATTATGACATTCTCTGAAGGAGTCAGTATGAAAATCTCAGCTGACTTACATGCTGCAACTACTTCCCAGTTACAAAGAAAACATCCTATCACTAAAACTAAAGATAAACTTATTTTTTTTAAACCCATAACAGTTACATAGACATCATTTTATATTTCCATAGGTGAAGCCAGTAAAAGTCAGTGACTAAAGAAAATGCCAACTAGAATCCAGGTCCTGGGCTCTGGTGAGGTACCACTGAAAAGAACAAACTCTTTAGCAGTATTCCTCAAAGCATCACCAGGTCTTAGACTGTAGCAGTTCATACTATCTCAACACAAATAATTACATTCAATAAAAAGATCATTTACGATGACTACCATGACCGTCTTATTTTGAAAAAGAACCACAGTATTTAGAAGTATGTACTAATAAGAGGCAACATTTTAGATCCATTAGCTCTACGAAGAAGCATTCAGATAGCTTCTTTATAATTAGACAACCTTGAAAAATTCCCACAGTTCAGGTGACTAGGGCAAGATTAGATAGAGCTAGTTTTTGAACAATATCAAACCCAATTTTGCTCTTTAAAATGTGGCTTGTGCTTGATCAATCACATCAAATGTGTGTAGTGAGAGGCCCTGCAAACCACAGCTTACCTACCTGTGCCTGCAGATGATCTTAAACTACAGTATTTCATGGGAATGTCCAGCAAATTTTAAAGTCCAGGATAGATAGGACCTAAAGATGCATAGTTATTCTTTACAGGGTCTTCTCTAAGAATGGAAGAGTAGTCTCAGTCTGTCTTCTAAGTTTCCAGGAATTGAAGATTGCCCTTGTCATGTGATTAAATAGAGGGAGGCCCTTGGTCTGAGTTTCAGTGGCTGCTCTTGGCTTTGTAAAGCATAGGTATTGTTGTTACCAGGCACAATAGCCATGCAAGACCACAGACTGAAAGTATGGTAGAATGCCAGTGTCCTGTAGACAAAGAGAGATGGATCCTCTGTGAACAGGAAGAGTTGCTTGGTTTTCCATGGTCAGTCTGCCCAAGACCAAATAAAGGGTCAGATTCTTACCAGTCCTACTTGATGCACAATATGACTCTCTTTTGAAAATTACTTCATTTCAAGTCATTTTATGAGTGGCCATTTGGGTTACCTAAATATAAGACTGGGGGCTGAAACTCAGTGTTTAAGAACACTGGCTGATCTCTCAGAGGACCTGGATTCAATCTCCAGCACCCAAATGATGATTTATGGCCTGTTCATAACTCCAGTTCCGGGGGCTCCAATACCCTCTTCTGAACTCCTCAGACACTAAGAATAAATGTGGTGCACAGATATGTATGTAGGCAAAATACCTATATACATAAAATAAAATCATTGTTTAAATTTTTTTAAAGAAAGATTAAGAGACAAGATTTAAAAATGGTACAAGGACACTCTATGAATGGAAGAATCCTTATTTGTTCCTATAGCCACTAGGCTCCAAAACTTCAAATACCTTTCCCCACCCTCCAGCATATCATCTTAAAGAATGGAAGGAGTGTAGGAAGAAAACATGAGCCTGGACATTTTATCCAATTAGAAGAACGGACACCAACTAAGAAGTTGAAATTATCAGGCGTGACAGCTCAAAACTTGATTGGACATTTAATTAATTTCTCTTCCCTATCCTCACTCATGACTGATTGAGAGCTTGGGAAGAAGCCTAGATGAGCTACAACCAAAACACAGAAAGCCAATTATATTTTCGTCTTATGTACAAGTACTAGTGAGACTGAGATTTTGAAGGTCAGCTACATCTGAAAGATTCCAGGTTTTCACCTCCATGTCTTTGCTCGATGATTCAAAAAAAAAAAGTTAGAAACTGCATATGTCAATCTCAGAAAAAAAAAAAACAAAACCAGAAACAAACAAAAGACAGGAAAGGTGCACCAAATGAAAACTGATTGCACAAGACAAGTTAAACTTCTCAATAGCTCTGTGTAATGTAACTTCAAATCCAGAGAATCAGATGTCCCTGCTGTATGGATTTCTCCCAGCAAGTTCCCCCTCTCTGAAAGGGGTATTTAGCAC